CCCTCTATTAAAACTCATACAAATCTAGGCCCCCCCCCTAATGTTTTTTAATCAACTTTCAATTGTAGGCCCAAAACCATAAATTTCCGGGGGGTGGCAGTTTTAATATTTGGGGAGGCTTTAATAATAGTGGGAAGCGATTATTTGTTTTTGCTTTTTCCATCGAAGGTTTCCAGAGATCTGATCGGGAGCCATCCCGTCAATCGCCTGCACCAGGTCCGACAAGAGGGATGGTTCGCATTATGGCCGCCTCCTCAGCCAGATGGGCTGTGGGCTTATATATAGAGCCCTTTCTTCAGGGTGCACTCGCCGGTGTAGGGTGCTGCGTCTTTCGGTTGAAACATCTGATAATGACCATTCAGTCTTCGCCTGATAATATGCTTGCAGGGAGATTTCCGTGCCCGGTCTTCGGTTGCTGTTGTGTTTCACTTGTGTGTGCGCGAGCTTGCCGAACTTGCGCTCGCGTCCCATTCCCTTCAATCAAACAGCGTCTTTGCCTAAGACCGTATCCTAAACCTTCACGCAAAACTAAAGAAGATAAGAAGACCCATAGGAAACGGTACAGAATCCAAACCCAGACCCTCGCCATACTGCATCAGCCCCGGCTTCAGGAAAGGCTTTTTCCCAAACTGGGCACGGCTGGGGTGCACGACTCAGATGTGCTGAACTGGCTGCTGGGGCGGCGAGGGCTTCTGTCGGATTTGCTTAGGGTTAATGCAGGTGGTCTACACCCTGAACCCTATTATGATAAACCCTAAACCCCATCTACTGTTTCCTTTCCTTCGCACCGATTGAAGTTACATCAATGGAATTGCGAGTAGCAAACAAAACCCGAATTACCGACAGAGTGGCTACTGGGTTAAGATAATACGATGGTTGTTACGCAGTACAATGTTCTGGTTATTAACCTACTAACTACGTAACGGGAGCCCTAGGGTATGCTCAGCACAGGTTGGAAGGAATCGGCTTCGGGTCTGTTTGGCAGGGTTGCAACTTACCCTGAACTGGCGCAGCGTCAAGCGATTTGCGAATCACACAGGCACACAGGCACAAAGGCAAACTGCGTGAGCGAGAGTGTGTGGGTGTGTGCGTGCATGAATGCCAGGCGCAATGCAACAAACACTTTTGCATGAACATGCTCACTCATGCACAAAGAGGCTTTGCACAAGAACTATAATTGCCTGTGGTAAACCTTGTGTGAATCAAACAAGTTGTGCAGTGACCTTGAGCGCCTGAGCCCCAGATCAAGCCCCCAAGCTACCGAAGGCCTTGGCAGCTGACTTTCTGGGTGACCTACGAGCATGCTCGCGGCGCACTAGGCGCAGTCAGCGACATTACAACCCCCGCCTCCCTCTGATAGGCAGTCCCGGATGCTTTTTTCGGATCCGGCCGAGTTGATTGGGTATTCGGAGTATATGGGAGTTTCAGAAAATTAGGGGTACCGTATTTTGGGGTCCTTATAATAGGGATCCTATTATTTAGGGTACTATATTAGGGTCCCCTATTTTCGGAAATCCCCATATCGCGCCTAGGAGATCTGAGTGTGCAGCTGAGATAGGGCGGCTCTTTTGCAGTTTCGTGGCGGGGCTTGGCATCCCAAAGGGTCCAAGTACCATTATAGTAGGTACTTAGTAGGTATTTGGGCCCCCAAAGTATATACTATACTATAACTTGGACCCTTTGGGCATGAATTTGGGGCCGGGGGCTTCGGATAGTTTTAGTCTTCTGCCAGTGCCGCTGGCCTCAACGCCTCTGCTGCCTGCCGTCGTATCGGTTTCTCGGACAGTTTGCAGGTTGCTACTGGTATGAGGGAGTGTATTGTAGCACAGTAACCCACATTAATATGGGTTTAGGCTGGCAAAACAAGCAAGTTGAACCCTAAACCCCAAAGCAAAACTGAATCGTAACCCCTAGACTCTGTACTCGATAAGGCCTCGCGGTTGTTTCTTGGCGTGTCTTCCGATGGACCACTCGGCTTGCGTCCTGAATACCCATATAGTATTATCTTTCTATATCAGGAATTACCATTGTTTCAGTAAGTATCTCCCATCTAGGCACTTAGGACCCTTAGAGTAGTCAGGCGCAGTGCAACCCCGACAGCTACGGGCTGTAGTGAGAAAAAGCCCTCGGGTCCCCCGAAATCCGTGGACAGACAGAACGAGGCAAAAGAACTCAGCTCCTAAGCCCCGAAACCCTAAACTCTACAACTCTACAGCACCCTAAACCCTAGAACAGGAAACCTTAGCCTCCAAACCCTAGACACTAAAGGCCCTAAACCCCAAACCTTGCCCCCTATAATCCTATAACCCTGTTCAGGCTACGGCGGCTTCTGAGTGGTAGAGTGCAAGCCGCAACCAAGGAAAAATGAGCTGTTTAGGGTTTAGCGTGCATGACCAGGTGGCACTTTGGGAAACTTAAAAACTTCCCTTATGGTCCCTATATAGAGGTACATTTTCCTACATACATTTAAGGGCCCCTAAACCCTAAACCCTATAAAACCGCAACCCCGAACCCTGAACCCTAAACCCTGAACCCTAAACCCTAAACCCTAAACCCCTAACCCCTAAACCCTAAACCCTAAACCCTAAACCCTAAACCCTAAACCCTAACTCTAAACCCTGAACCCTGAACCCTAAACCCTAAACCCTAAACCCTGAACCCTAAAACTACAACCCAGATGAGACTTGCTGCGATCGGCTCCCGAGTCTTCCGAGTGACTTGGCGCACTGCGCACTTCTTTGCTGATCCGACAGAAACCTTTAGGGTTTAGGGTTTAGGGGAGCATGACCTAGGGTTTAGGGTGTTAGGGCTTTAGGGCTTTAGGGTTGAGGGTTTAGGGTTTAGGGTTTAGGGTTCAAAAAAGGGTTTAGGGGAGTTTGGGGGGGTTTACCAAAGCCACGACGTCTTTAAAACCTGAACCTACGAAAGCTTATGCGAGACACTCTCGTCGTTATGGGTCGTTCCACATGAACCGCCAGTCATGCAGTACTTCTCCGTCGGTACCCTAAGCTTGCATACCCTCCCTGCACTAGACCCTGATTTTTTTCCTCCACAACCAGCTCTGCTATTGAGTGACTTTCCGATGCTGGGGGACCCTCATCCAGAGCTCTCAACGGTGGGATCCTCCGGACAAGGAACCTTGAACAAGATACCCTGAAAGGTACCCTCCACGGGCTACCACAAGGGCTACTACAAGGCTTCCTTTAAGGGCTCCTTTAAGGGCTCAGTGTGACCCTGAATGGTACCCTTGTAAAAGGTGCCCCTGTGATCTGAAAAGTCCCATGAAGCGATGGTGGCTTGCATCTGCCGCTGCCGTCGCTGTCCTGGCGATCCTCATCGGCTTCCGTGCCAGGCATCCCACGGTTCAGGGTTTTGGGCTTAGGGTTTAGGGTTTAGGGCCACTTTTAGGGCCTTAGCCCTGTAGTGCTCTTAGGATTCGTTTTTAGTACAGTGACACTACTAGTTTATCCTGGTTCTACAGGCCTTGGGAACAGGGCCTACAGGGTTCCGTCACGGGTTCCATAGACCCTAAACCCTAAACCCAAAACCGTAGTCCTTAGACTAGGCTCTGATAGTTGCTCTGTAAGGACTGCTATGGGGTGTGATTGTTGCATGTTGCTGTCCATGACACAGGCAATCACCAAAGGGCAGATGGCATTCCGGATCATGCATATGCACTTGCAGCTGTTATTGTAAACCCAGCTCGAGGTCCGGATTTTCTTCCAAACCCTAAACCCTAAATCCTGCATCCCCCTATCCGACCTCGCCTGTCAGCATAGTTCTCTGCCATGCGAGAGGGGGAAAAATGCTAAACCCCAAACCCTAGATCCTATACCCTATACCCTATACCCTAAACCCTAAACCCTAAACCCTAAACCCTAAACCCTAAACCCTAAACCCTAAACCCTAAACCGAAACCCTAAATCCTAAACCCTAAGCCCTGAAGCCCCTCCCAACCCTCAACGCCCCAAGGCCAGAACCGCAACCTGCAACCCGAAACCCGAACCTCCGGGTCCTAAACCCAAGATCCAGCAGACCCGACCAAGACCACAGTTCAGGGTTTAATTAGTGTGATTTTGGGTTTTAGGTTTAAGGGTTTTAGGTGTTTGGGGGTTTTGGGTTAAGGGGTTAACCAGCGGCACTGGATTTCCTCCTATTCTGACAACTTCAAGACTTTGGCTGGCAACTGGGCGTCGGCTGTCCAGGGCTTTGCCCCAAAAGGGCTTTAAGTACCTATATGGGGGTTACTTACCCAAACCATCATAGTACTGCTTACCATAGGAACCCGACTTCCTTCTTTCTGCGATCTATAGTCGGACAATCCTAAACCCCTAAACCCTAAATCTGGGTACTGAGGATCTTTTGGGCCACAGGTACCAGCAAGCAGAGCTAGAGATCTTCGGTATCGCATTCCAGCCGCCCACCCCGAGCTCTCCATCGGCAAGAAGAAGCAAGGATCCATCCGGGCGGTTTGCTTAGTTTGGGGACAGCAAAACCTATGTAGAGGCTGGAGTAAGCACAAATATAATTCCTTACTTAAGATGTTGTGCATATTTGTTCCTATAACATAAACATACCCCTATGCACCCCAAAATCCTATTCCAATTATGGATATTAGTACTCGTGTCCTTGTTATTAACGACTCTGCAGGCCCCTGGGTTAGAGAAGCCAAGAGCGCGCAAAGGTCAGGCGAGATGAAGCTGCCAGGCAGCCCCTGTACACGCATCGAGGCACTCGATCTCAGTGGAAGATGGTTTTTATTGGCACCCCAAGCCGGGTTTAGGGTTGAAGAGGTGCAGAACTTATAATATAGGATTGGTGATCAAAGAGTTCGAAGGTTCAGGGGTAACCCTAAGCTTCTCAGTCTTGAACCTTGGCTTTTCGTCGCTAGACTCTGCATGTTCCAGTCGCATAGCCTGTAGAAACCTTGAGTCTAAGCCGTATGCAAAAGTCAGATTCAGATCGGTAATCAAAGCCCAAGCCAATTGAAAGCACACCGCATACGGGATCCTCAATGCTGTCATCATGGTGGGCTGCTTTTTCTGAGGGCATAGGCCCGCTTGACCTGGCACTGCAGGACAGGGAAATGAAACTTCATCCTTTGAGTTGTTGCTGGCAAGTTTTTTTTGCGAAGGAAGGGGGGCGAAGCGTCTTGCGCAATAGGCACACATTACGAAGAGGGATACTGCGCTAGAAAACTCGGAGTATTTATTCGAGCTACTCGAGCCGGCTGCATGGCTTCAGGCTCCCGGTCGTTTGAAGACTAATGCACCGCAAGCCAAGCCATGAACCTTACTCCCTAGTGCCACACCCTGAACCTTGAACCCTGCCCTGTACAAATCTAACCCTAACGGTCCATGTTCCCAGATAGGCGAGGCCCTGAAGTACCCAAATCGGGACTACTTTAAAGTAGATACTGTTTAGGCGCATTCACCGTTAGGGTAAAGCTCTTCAACCTTCAAAACTGAACTCCGATGAGCCGTTTCTCCTGACACTCTTTGGTTCGAGGTTCCTTTTCGAAGGCTTCGTGTCCGAGTATAAGCCCGGAACTCTACAGGCCACAAAAAATTGAAAACCGTAAATCCCTGAAGCCTGAATCACCAACTGATCACGATATGCCCTTTGTTATCCTCATGTCCACGAGCCACCCGACAAAGCACAGGACAAAAGCGAGTAACGACAATCAGCACACAGTCAATAATACACCCCCAAGACCAAATCCTGGAACCGTACAGCCTTAAAGACACTTCGTAGTACCACTCGTAAGAGCCCTAGAAACCGATCCCTCAATCCGCAATCACAAGAATATCGCCAAATCCCTTGTCCTCGGCATCAGGTCGGGTCGTTCGTTCGCTTGTCCTACGACCTCTACTATGCCGAGGACCACTCTATAGCACCCGGAACTTTACAATGATGTTTCATGTGTTTTCTTTGGGTTCTAAACCCCAAACCCTAAACCCTTAACGTGTTTTGGGGTTTGCAAGTCTAGAGTCCTTAGGGTTTAGGGTTTGGGGGTTTAGGGTTTAGGGTTTAGGTCCTTTTACCGAAATTGCACATACTTGTGGCCTAAGTGGGTTCATATAGATGTACCTGGTCTCTTTAGGGGCCGGTGCTTTTCTAAAAGGGGCCGGTGCATTTGTAAAGGCCTGTCAGCATCGTGAACTCGCCTGCTCAACCCTACAACGTTAGCTCTGTGCCCCAAACCCGAAACATTTAGGACCCTATGCCCTGAACCACCCCAAAGCCCTAATCCGTGCCTGCCTTGAGTCATTGAGCGAGTGTGCGAGTGGAAACCCTAACAAAAACGTAGGCCTTTGATAGTTGACCCTGAAGCCAGAAAGCCGGTCGGACACCTCGGCCGGTTCCCCACGTTGCGAAAGTGGCCACCCTCATCCTGAGCCCTATCGGATTCTAAGCCCGAAGCCCCCTAAGCCCTAAACCCTAAGCCCAATCCCAAACGCTAAACTGTTCGGTTCAGCGTTTCGTTTGCAAGGCTTCTCGACATGAGGCAGGGCTTGGGTTTAGGTTTGAGGGATTTAGGGTTTAGGGTTCTATAAAGTTTAGTTTGTTGGTGCTGAGCTTTTGCGGCTTGAACCTCTCGGAATACTTGCTGCAAGGTAGCGGACGGCCACGGAAAGCTGGAGTTCGAGGCAACGCAAAAAGCAAACGTCACCGTTTTCAGCGCCCGGCAGTAGTCAGTAGTCGTGATCCGGCTGGGGTGACTAACGGATGCAGTTGTAGTCATGCAGTTGATGCAACCTCAAGCACAGCCGGGCAAGATCTTGTAAGCTCCAAAGAGCTGGCTAAGGCAGACCAGTAAGTTTGTCCGCATACTTTTTTCTATTCCGCCGATTTGGAACAGAATTTTCCCGCGTCGCAAAAGATGTATTCTGCACATCATCCTTCCAAGACTTGTCGCGGCTGGAAATGTAGACCGCGAACTACCCCCCAGACAGACTCCACAGAAACAGCCGGGCGCAAAAGCATTCCGGTACGCGTTGGTGCGGGGGCGAAATCTCACTACGGTTTTGTTCACCATCATGTTGGGATTTTTTCGTTTCTGGTACCGGTATAATTTTCAGCTCGGGTTTTTTCACCATAATTTTCACCATTCGGGCTCCGCCCGCCCAAGAAATTGTGCCGAGCCGCGAGCACAAGTATTCCCCATGTGCAGGTGCACCTGTTAAACATGCCAGCCGTCCAGCCGGCGACGAAAACTTATTTATTCCAGCGTAAAAAGTAGTCCGACCAACCGGTAGCAGAAAAGTGGTCCGGTGGAAAAAAGTATGCCGGATTCAGAAATTCTAGTTGTTGTAGACCCACGCAGGAGTCGCAGAGATGGTTATTTTGGCCTTATTGGGGCAGAATTGGGATACAGCACTCAGGGTGCAGGTTCATGTTAATCCCAAGGCCCAAGGCTCCACCTACGTGGCCATTAGATCAGTTAAATAATTTAGTGTCCCCTCTCCCAGAAGATGACTGAAAAGTTCCAGCAAAAAGAGAGCCACTACACAACCCTGAATGAACGCAGCCATACTAGCAGGCAATAAAGCGAACCGAGTGTCACATTCCTGGCGCAGGTGGGGCGGGGAGACGTTTTCCCTGCAGTAGACCGGAATGTTCGAGGCCTCAAAGTCGGGGACACGAAGGACCAGGGTAGGGTGTTTCGGAGTTTTGGGCTTGGGGTATTTATGGGCACCCCTGCCCCTCATCTTCGGCCAACCGCCATGCTGCACTTGGTGCCGGGTCTCGGTGCTGGCACGGTTTGAGGCGATAACCTCCAGTTGTCCATGTAAACAGCAATTTTCTGGCGGCACAACTTCGCAACCCGTTATTTTACAATCGATCCCAAGAGTATCCGAGTGATGATGGCAGGGCTGGTAGTGAATGCTTACCTGCGACAGCCCGGCCTAACATCACACAGTGAGCACGAGTTGTTCTTGCATCCCACACCATGAAAGCCGTGCCCACAAGCAGGAAGAGAGCCAGTTTTTCCCTACCTGAGTTGTAGGATTTAGGGAAGTTTAGGGTTTAGTGTTTAGGGTCTTCCAGAACGAGAAGGTCCTGCCGTTGAGGTGTGTTCGCTGGCACACAATCCAAGCCCATGCTGAAAAAAGGGTCCTGGAAGATGCTGAAACACACGATGTCTTCGGAGCTTCCAACGTCTGTATTTCTGCTGGCCTGTGGCAAGGCCCAAACGGTCCTGCGTACTTTTCTGGGGGATACTTGCCCGAATCGTAAAAGTGATTCCTGTCATAGAAACTCTTGCATCTACCACACCTATATATAGGTAATTAGGACTCTTTGAAATTGGATAACGAGGACTTCCCCTTTATTGGGGACTCCGGCTTCGGCGAGCGCCGTGCCGACTGGGTCGTCGATTACGACCGAAGTCTCTCAGTTATCGAATTAGTCTGCGTGTGCATCTTTGGTTGCGAGCCTGTCTACATGGCGCCGACGGAGTCACCGTCTAACATGTTAGGTTGTCGTCGTCCCAACCGGTGGCGATGGTCCTAGTCGAAGATGCAGCGGCAGGAGCAACAGCACCAGCAGCAGAAGCAGCAGCAGCGGCGGCGGCAGCAGCAACAGCAGCAGCAGGAGCAGGAGCA